CATTGATAAAAATTAATAATTTGTACCTTTCACAGTGACTTATAAGATACCTAATCATAGATATTTACCTATCAATTCATCTATCATCTATATATCTACTTAATAACTATCAGCCATCTATTTGTCTTTCATTCATCCATCCATCCATCCTCTGTGAGGCTGTATTTCACAGTGGTTAAAAGCTCAGGCTATGTAATAAACAAATTTGAATTCAACTTCTACTTTTTTCATTTACCATTGTGTGACCTTGAACAAATTGCTCAATCTGAGACCTAGTTTCCTCTTTTGTTAGATGAAAATACTAAGAAATATCTAGTACTGTGGGTGGCTTTGAGGATTAAATGAAATAACACATGTAAATAACAAAGCACAGAATCTAACATATACTAAAAGTTCAGTAAATAGCAGCTATTATTGTTTTTCATAATAGAGCTTTTGGATCCCAGGCCTTCCACAAAAGCAGGAAAAAAGATTTGAATACTTTCAGCTCTGAAACTTCATAGTTTGTCTATGAGATGATAATCAAAGAGAGATAGTGCCTACACAATGGTCACTAAAATAGTAGAAATTATCCATCTATTATTTTATTAAAAAAATCACTTGTGAAGGTCAAACATGAGCAGTCACTGAGGGTGGAGGAGGCAGATACTTTGGTAAACGTGATAACAGATATGACAGAGATATGTACAAAGTGTTAAGATAGATGACACAGTGACTTACTGCCATTGGTGTTGGGCAAGGTTTTCAAAGAGGGTGACTCCTGAGGAAAGGATGAATAGGAGAGCATCAGATAGAAAAAAGAAGAAATTCGTGCTTGACCTCTGCTTTCAGTATGCTTGGTAAATGGCTTGCACTGAATCTCACAGCCAGCGGGGTTCTGGAAAACAGCGACTATGCCGCAACCTTTAAGCAGATGTGTGTGGCAAGCCCTGATTCTCACACTCTAGAGGTTAGATATGCATCCCCTAAGTTTAAACTGAAGACCTGTCAGCAGAGACAGCACTCAGAGAAGCTGGTCCTAAGTTCAGAAAGATTTTTTTGTAAGGCAGTGATATATGAATAAGAAATTAGGTTCAGAATATTAATGATGTATGTTTTATTTTACAGACAGAAACAACAACATGGAAACCCCATATGAAGAAAAGGAGGCGAGACAAAACACTGAAGATACTCCAGAGGAAGGTAGACAAAAAAAGTCAGAAAGGAAAAAGAGCAACAGCTATCTCAACAACAGAGAAAGGAATTATTTTGAGTTATTCCATGAAAATGAGTTCAATATTGGGAATTAGTAATGTTCAATGCATGGGACCTACATCTTTGCCAGTGCTATTTCTGTAGCTGATGGAACATCTGCTATGACTATACTGGAGAAATCGCTGGAACACAGCAGTAAATGAACGACTCCAAGATGCCACAGGTCCTATCTCTAAGTTGAGAGGGTTTACAATGCTAAAGAAAAAGTGCCCGGTACTAAGATCAGGAAGAATACGGTGACTCTCATACTCAGGCCTCCTGGCACAGTGGGATTGAGGCAAACCAGCCAGGCTGCGTGGGCACCGATCTATGGAGTGCTAAAACATGCCTGGAAGAGACCAGAAACATGGGGCCACTTAACTCTGGTTCCTACATACAGCCCCTTACATAACTGACAGGACTAAGCTGGTTCTATTTCCCTTGAAATAAACAGAGTATTCTAGAGAAAATGAAGGAAACAAACAAACAAACGTCCCTAGGTTTCATTTAGTGACAGTGACCAAATGTCTCTGCTTGTCCTAGAGATTCCCAGTTTAAGCCTGCTATTTCAGTGAAATTATCATTAGCAACCCCTTCCTTCTCAATGTGTCCTGGTTTGAATGATAAATTATATAGTCACCATCTATTTAGTCCATGCAACAAATTGCTGACTTTAAACAAAAGATTAAAACATATACCTTTCCAATAGGAAACCAAATAGCACCAGTAAAAAAAAAAAATCTACCGAAGAATGCCAATACAGATCAATTAATTAAAGTAGCAAATCATTCTTTTACAAATCCTAATGGAATTATTAAACCAGGCAATAATTATTAGTTGTAATTAAATGCATTAGGTGAAGAAATGATGGGCAACTGGAGATCACTCAGTGACAAAGTAACATGGCAAGAAGAAAAATGTGACTTTACAAGGGAGGGGGCCGCTACCGTAATACTGTTGTATATCTTAACTTCAACAGCTATGGGTAAGCCAGTACGTAACATCACTTATCATGCATTCTAGTCACGACGTTTAACTTGAATCTAAAAAAGACTTTAAATGTAACTTCCAGTTTACAGTAAATCCATGAGATACGGGAACAAGCTAAATCATACTATGAGAAGCAATCAGGCAAATCTAGGCCAATCCCTTGAAGATGCCAGTGAAATGCAAAATGGGTCTCTACTAGATTAGAAGAGCCTTAAGGGACATAACAATCAGATGCAATGTGTAGTCCTAGAATTAACCACCTCTAAAGGACATTTTGGAAGAATTCGGGAAATTTGAATATGATGTCAAAGTGTGTAAAGACATGTTGTTGTAATTCACTTTATTGCTTCAGCATAAAATATGGTTTAAAAAGAATGAGGTGTATGTACATATACATATACCCACATATTTATAATTTAGAAAATCAATTTCTCCTCACTCCCGCTAGGGGAAAGTAGAACTACTTAAGGAAAAATTATCTGAAGGGGTCTGGATCAGCCTGTGCCACTGCCCCCACATTTTGGTCTGGCTCTATCACAAGGGACGTGCCCACAGAGCAGGCATGTTTCTAGGGTAGACTCAGCCTGTACTGACAGAATGCTAAAACAACGGTTTCCCCAGGATCACAGCGCTGACTGGGGCCTGGAGAAACTGTCTAGGATAGAAAGCAAGTAGATATGGCAGCAACCAGTTCCCATGCTAATGGGAACATGGCTAGAAATCCACAGATCTAGACTGAGGGAATGTCATCGAAGATGTGATGAAGCTCTGTCTCAAGAATGCATCCACAGTAGCCAATACAGGTGTCCTTGGTGCAAAGAGGAATCTTTCTGAGGCTCTGTCCCAGGAGTAGGAGACAAACCCTAAGGGGAGACCTAACCTTGGCAAGCACATAGCTACTATGATACTGGTGCTCTGACTGCCCAGTAGCAGGTCTCTCTGTAGGGAGAAGAGTTAGAGGTGACAGGTAGAGAATAGAACAGATAGAGGAGGGATGAGATAAGAGTTAAAACAAAAGTGAAACCATAGGGGTTAGAAGGAAAATAATGAGAGGTGAATAATTTATTAGTAAAATGTAACCTTATAATGAAGGATCAGTTGGTAAAGGCCAGGGCAAGGCATCACGGCAGCAAAGTGAGAAGTAGAAAGGAGCTAACAAAGAGCCAAAGAGAATCCAAGATGACGGTGGACGGGTAACAAGCAGACAGGAGAAGACACAGTGAGCGGGAACAGGGGACGATGGTTAAGACACAGCAGCAACATGGGGAGATAGGGGGCATTTGAAATGGCAAAGGAAACAGAAGGACAGAGGGCGCAGGAAGTAAAAGAAAGACAGCTGGTCAGAGGTTGAGGGGGCAGCACTTGGAACAGACAAGAGCTGAATGCATCTTTTCCGTCTTTGTACTCAGTGAAACTTAGTGGGAGCCCAGGAGAAAGGAACAAAGGGAGGAAGGAGTGAGGGAGGGAGAATGGGCGGAAGCAGTGAAGGAAGGCGGGCAGAACAGCCTGGAGAGCGAAGTGAAGGTGTGGAAGAAGGAAGAAGAAAAGAAGGCATGCGGAAAGCACACATTTTGGAGCCACACAGGGGGTTAAAGTTAGTTAAAATATGATGGACTTGGTGCTCATGAGCATTCTATGTCACACTCCAGAATTGTGAAATTCAAATGTACCATAAGAATTCAAGAAATATTTTGACCAGGCAACATTTCTGTGGCTGATGTGAGTTATGTCTTACATAAATGCCTAGAAGTTGCGTAAAAGCATGATAACGTTATTGAAAAAACAGTCGCATAGCTCTTGGATCTTCCATGCACTGCTGAGTGATGCCAATCAGCCTGTCAGGCTCCTTATTTTCCCCAAGGGCCTGCTCTCATCCAGTGGGTCACTTTATCATATGAACTGGCCTAAGGCTGCTGAATTCTTTCCACCCATTCTTCTGTTGCTCAGAATCAAAACAAGAGGCAAATACTGGATTGAGATAAATAACGTAGACAGAAATCTGGCTAAATACTACAAAACAACCCCCGTTATTCAGGCGCCTGATTATCTAGATTGTTGACTACATTGATTACATTAGTCCAGTGATTGCCAAATCTTTTCTTTACTTTCTGTTGGGTGGGATTTAATCTAGAGAATTAACAGATCTCCCCAGGATGAAAATCTTTCCCAGGACGCATGAGTTTGACTGATAGCTCACACAATTATTGCGGAACGCATGCAAAATTAGACTCACATGCAATTTTCATGCAAAGGAAAACCTATCCATCAACATAATAGTGGCTCTCAGGAAACAGTCAAGGTTCTGGGTCTGAAAACTGTAAAGTAGGAGGTCTGATGTTTTAGGAAGCCATAATCAAACATTTTCGTTTGCAGTTTCTAATATGTGTAGGTGTTTTCTAGTACGTGAATAAGATCAGAATTTGTACCAAAAATTATTATTACAAGATTTCAAATCACAATGGTGCATGTGTTTGAGAATCATTGGTTTGCAATTTGGGGGAGGAGACAGGTTGGTGAAATCAGATTCCCAGAGTCTTCAGTTTGTTTTTCAAACAGAAAACAGTAAAAGAGATAGTCTCCCTGATTCATGATACAAGTCCCTTATAATCTATCTAGATTTATGAGGTTGGCACAAGTGTAACATCTGTATTTCCTAACTTTGAAGTTTGAATTGGATACTACATACACAGCACAGACTGCAGAGAGTTATGAAACTGCAGAGCACCTCCACGGGAAAGCAAAGAGAAAGATCAAAGGGTCTCCTGGATGATACTCACTATTTGGTAGAGTCAGATAACTGGTATTCTCGTCGTCTATCGTAGCATTCCTGGATTCCAGGATCATTCCATAAACTCTTTATTGCATCTACGTATGGATTCTCAAAAGCAGACACCTTCTCCACATCAACTTCTCGAACTAATTGTGCATGAGCCTGTTTAAATTAAAAACAAAAAAATAAAACAGCAGCGGTTTTAACACCCTTTCCTTTATTTTCCAAATTGTCTTTGGTTTGCACATTACATTGCACACAATTCAGGTGACATCTTCCTTCATATAATGGTTTCCAAACTGGTTTATAACAAAGTAATGATTCATATTTTTTGTTTTTCTTAGAGAGAACACTCCCAAATCTTTTCTTCGAGAGCAAACCTTGAGGCTACTTAAAGTTGATTAGAGGATGGCAGCAAGGTCAGCTCTCCCATCAGAACAATGAGAGTGTCATGCTGCATACACCACTGTTTTTAGGTAATTATCGTAACCGAAAACAATATTATTAAAGGAAAAAAGGCAGAATAATTATCTCCTGCATGTTTATAGTTTATTACAATCAAACACATAGTATACCTAGCCCATGGGTATTATATGTCTCAGCAGAAACTAAATCAGAATCCTCAACTAATCAGGATTAGTTTCTACAGTTTACTTTTAGGATAAAGTATAAAACCACCACAAGAACATTTAATATTATTAATTTAATTTGGACAACAATAACAAGTACCCGTCTACTCCCACATAGATTCCCAAATTCCAAAATATTTATTTTATATCTGTCTTATCTACATTATCAGATTGAGGACCCTATTCAATTTTTTAACAATGAAAAAGATCTTTGTCATCTCCATTATACTACATTTAGCAGGAAAGAGATAAAGAGATTTAAAAATTTTTTCAATAAGACTAAAATAAAAATGTTTTACAGTCAACCCTCAAATTAGCCAGAATACACCCCTGACTAACAATCCCAGTCAAACTAGGTTTCATGGAATGTTATACACAAATTACACATACATATAAATATGTAAATAAACATAAATAACTAATTACCTTAGAAATTGGAGGCAGATGGCTGACAATTATTGTAACAGTCCTGATTTTGTACAGAAATACAAACTTTTTAATAAGGTCAGTGAATGGCTACCATGATGATATTATGGCCAAATTATTCATTTCATAGAGTATTAAGCAGATAGAATTTTAATAAATTTAATCCATGCCAGACCCTGTCTGGTTCTCATTCTTTACCTCCCCACTTCTCTTCCCATGAGTGGGAAGGGCCCCATGTCAATAGACTAATCTTGATCTAAGGTTTTAAGAAGCTTAACACACAGAAACTGAAGAAATCACCTATCTTATTAGTTCTGCTCTGACAGTAACAATCAGCTCTAGTGTCTGAGAAGCCCTATCTCTACTCCGTACCCTGACCTTGGAAATGGATCCCCCACTTGCTTTCTGTACTGAGTCCCTGCCTAGACAACGTGCCCTGCTATATCCCACCAGTGATCTTACCCACCCAGAGTCCTGCTCCTGAACCTGACTCCTGCTGGGGCCCACTTCAATCGTCATTCCCTCCGACACTCACTCTCTGAAAACAGAACATCACTGGCTCTTCAAAGAATCCCCAGTGCTAGGCTCTGCTGTTCAGCAGCACTTGTTACTCCATGTTGAACCTCCTGGATTCCCAGGGACTGTACTGGACCCATCTGGTCTGCCCCTGAACTGGACCTCCTCCAAGCAGATTGGGCTTTCTCCACTCCACCTAACCTCAGCAGGCGTGTCTCATGTCCAGCTTCAATCCCTCCCTTTTGGCCCTTGCTCACTGAATATGAACATGTTCTTTTGTCGTGTCCAGAGATATGACAATGATCATCTTTGACATGATCCTAAATTCAATTCCCCATGGCCACATTGTTATAATTCTCAGTTCAATTCCCCGTGGCCACATTGTTATAATTCTCAGTTCAATTCCCCGTGGCCACATTGTTATAATTCTCAGTTCAATTCCCCGTGGCCACATCTCTATTATAAGGTTTTCTTGAGGATGCTGTGAATCTCGGGTGGGGGTGGGGGCAGCAGAAGTGGAGATATATGCAGGGTGGTTTCCTACTGGATTTAGTCTAGAGTCATGGTTTTGCATCTGACTCTGCTTCTTGCAACCCCAGGTAAGCTGTTTAATCTTTCCAAGCGTTATTTCTGGTGGGGAACAATGCTGCTCCCTACCACCCTCAGCCACATGTGACTTTGTGCAAATCAGTTACAATACGGTTTGTCAGTTGTTCTCAAGAGGTGGTCCACGAACCAGCAGCATCAGTGACACCTGGGAATCTGTTAAAACTGCCAATGCACTGTCCCCACCTCAGACCTGCTGGATCACAATGTGGATGATTCCAATGTATGTGAAAGTTTGAGAACCACTGCAAACTATAAAGCACCACACAGATACAAGCTGTGATCATAATTAATAGCCCCCTTGGCCACAAAATTACCATTGGAGACTAAAGAGAAGAGGCCCATAGAGGCAACAGTCACTTGTAAGCAGGGACCTTAACACATGTTCGTAAGGTCCAGGAAGCCACAGACCTGAGTACAACAGGCTAGATACAGGCCAGAGGGAGTAATGGAGACTGTGGCACACTGAGAGATACATGCCCTAATTAAAGAGGGCAGCTGCTATTTAGCTCCAAACAATTATTGACATTGGCAATGTAGGCTCATTGTGATCAAATTCTCCAATTTTTTTAAGGGAAGTCAAAAATCTAGATTTTTCTTTGAAATATCCCTAATTTTAAATCTTGGCAATCCTATAAAAGATAAAGTATAACCATGCCTGAGTTGAACTGGGGGCCACTCATTTGCAACATTTGTTCTAAAAGATTCTTCTCCCTTTGCTCCCCTCATAAGCTTCACCAATAACATTATGTTCCTGCACAGAATCTAGAAAACAGTACGTGGGTGTAGGTTAACACACATGAATGAATAATTTTCCAGTATTTTACTACAATGATATCTAGATAAATTAACTCTACTGGGCATGGGAGAAATTGTTGAGAGCCTTCTCTGAATTGGGTCAAAGCTGGTGACATAGGTTACTATAGGTAGTAGTTCTAAAATGAATTTGATACTCACTACACTAGGCCAGCAACGTCATTTGGAAGGAGGTCTGCTTGTGCTTCTAGAGCAGTTCATTGTTTTCTACTGGGGAAAAATGTCAACCAAGACACTTTTCTCACTATTATGATCAAATGTTTACTAGACCCCGGTGAGATGCTGGCAATATAAGAATAAGGGAATTAGCTCCTGTCCAGGTGTGTGTGCATGCGTATGTGTAACATTTCCTATCGATGGCAACCAAACAAAGCACAGGATTATGTGCTCTGTGTGCAGGAACAAGAAAAAATATCTGCATTCCATCCTTAATTCCAGTTGACTCTAAGGGCACTTAAATAAAGACAATCTTCTCAATGATGTATAAAGTTGTAACTTTCCACAAAGAGCCTACTTCTATAAAATGAAACTATTTTCTATTGCCCGAAAATGTCTGTAATTTCCTATCTTGGTCTACCTCTGCTTGGTTTTTCTCACAGCTAGAATGATGCCTTCCCTCTTCCTTCTCATACCTTCTTTAAAGAGCTTTTGTTCAGAGGCTATATCATACACCATCTCTTACAGGAATTTCTTTCTGACTTTTCTCCTCTCCAAAAAAAAATGTGATCTTTGTGTCCTTTGAACCATGGAAATTCTACATTTTGCTTTATGTTAATAGTTATGTCTTAACTTATCCCTCTTCTAACTAACTGTATATTGGTGGAGGAAAGGGCTGTGGCTGACAAGTTCTAATTTCTTTTGGGGCCTGAGCAAGCCTATAACAAATACTTGTTCGATTTAACTGCACTGAAAAAGTACACATAGATATGATGCCAAGACTAGTCAAAGACAGTTTCTCAAGAAAATCTCCCATCTATTATCTACTCTCATAGGATTACATAATCCTTAACAACACTTAGTTTAGTAGTTAGTGTGCATGTATTTGCATGTATTTATTAGTATCTGCCTCCCTGATTGCAGTATAAGTGCCAAGACATGCTCAGCGCCTAGTGAAATGGCTGACATCCGGAAGGAAGGAAGGAAGGAAGGAAGGAAATTGAACTAGAATAAAAATCAGGACATCTAATTTCTAGTTCAGGTTTACCCATAACATCAGTCATAACCCTTAGGAGAAATTACTTTACCTCTTTATAACTTAATTTTCCCTGCCCATAAGATAAGGCAATTGAACCAAATCACCTAAGGGCTCATCTAGCCAGAAACTGTATGATTGTAAATATTTAATAAATACATCTATAATGCATAGGGCAACAAGAAGTTATGACACTGTCCCTCTAGAAGCATATGGTATCATTCAGAAAGACAAGACCTTACTATTTCAAACCGTACCTGACAATACAGGGCAAAACACAGGTCAGTAAGTACATGGGCAATGCTACATGGGGATGGAGCAAGTACAGCTCAGTATACGGACTGAGGAGGTCAAATGAGGTGTCAGAGAAAAGACAGGATTTAGCTGACAGGTGAGGAAGAAGATGCATGACACCTTGAGTCTCAGTGGATAAAATAAACATGGCATTTTCTTTTAACTGTGAAAACAATCTTGTGAGGATGTTTCATGTTGACTCTTAATTCAAATTAACTTCTACAGTGAAAGCTGTAACAGTTTTCTCCATGATAACTTAGAAGAGACCTCTCCATCATCTAAGAAACAATATCACCCTCAAAAACACATCAATCACCATGTTGCCTTCACCCAGGTCAGAATTTCTAAAGCACTTTTACTGCCTCCTAAGCTTCGTTGTTTAATTCCATCCTTGCTGTTTTGGAAAATGACATTCAAATATAATCAACCATAATTTGCATTTATGTAAAAGCTTTCATCTGAGGTTCTCTTAAGTTATTTAAAAGTATGACGGCATTTTACAAAATGTGCACAGAGTTTTAAAACTGTCGATATAAATGTCCCCAATGAAAGCACAGTCCTCTCAATTTTTTTTCTAAAAAATGTTCTGTATGTGGAAAGAATATTTTTTAATAAGTTAGAGTAGGAAGTTAAATCAGATGCTTTCTTCTATTTGTCCAAATGTCAAATAGTAGTAAAAACTA